GAACTTATTTAAAAGCAGTTTTGCCACGACAGTGGGAAATTCATAAAGGTACGAACCAACAAGCGACAACTGAGGTTAGGTCCAGATAGTAAAAACTAAGTATTCATTTTAAAAACAGCAACAACGCTTTAAAAAGGATTAGAGCTTAATGGTTTTCAAAAAGTAATTTTAACCGCGAACGGGATAGCGACAACATACGTTTTGCCTTAGAGTTGCGACTAGCGTCAACAACCATCGTGAGACAAAGGTCTTTAAACCATTATTTTCTTCTTAAACTATTTTTGAAAACACCCAAAACACCGGTAACTTGTCGAATCCTTGAAGAACCAACATATTGCATACCGATTCAAGCATTTATACCTTAAGTAACGTTTTTAGTTCCCCTATAGTTTACACACTTATTTTGCTTTTATTCCCCTAAAACCATACCAACCTAGCTAAACACAGTAACACCCGAAAATACTAGCTTGATTACGAGTCCCTGTGGGATCAATATCTTATATTACTACGCGATAGACTGTGCACTTGCAGTTAGTTTAGTAGACATAGAAAGTCGCGATCAGTTCACATGTTGCTGATATGATCACCAAGACGTTGCCTAGTTGCAAGTTTTTCCACTGTACGCAGTTGATAAAGCTGCATGAAGAAAGCTAGTTCCTTGATGTTATAGAGTTAGATCCCAGGTGATTTATGAGATGTTGGATTGAACTCTAGTATGGTCAAAGGGTAGCTTCTGGTTCGACAGGAATTAAGCATGAGGTCGAAGTCTGTTCGCATGCTGCTGTCGAAGATAATGCGTATTGTAGTCGAAATTTGTTCTAACATGCATTAGTCAATATTGCTAGGTTGTTAGCATATTAAATTGGGTCTTTCTTGTAAGCCCAATTGTTTAAGTTATCTTGTACCCTAAGTTAGCTTGTAATGGGTAATTGTTAAAAATCCCATTAGGTTATAATGTTATTTTTCTTATAAATAAAATGCTAGTTTCTCAATCTTGGCATAAGGAAAAATAGGAAGATAAAATCCTAATTTCAAGTGAGAGAGGTTATTTTGTTATTCTTGTATACTTGTAATCTTGTTCTAAGAGAAAGGAAAGAATAACAGTTTATAATTAATCCTTGTTGTTCCTTGTTGTTTTACCTTGTTTTCTTTGTTAACCCTAACCCTTGTGTGTTTCTTGATCATTAAGAAACCATTTATACTTTGTTTAAAGGTATCCGATTCACAACAGTTTCTTTATATATTTTGCAGTTTGGACACAAAGATCATCCTCAAGATGTTGAACAAAGTTAAAAGAATACATAGAAGGCTTAGATTTTTTTTAAATTATTTCAACAATTAATGTAATGATATACAGATAGATTTAATGTTTACTTTGTAATGTTATAATATTCAATATATATAAACTATTTTAATATATTTATTTTTGATAAATTTTGTAATTAAAATCTAAACAAATATTGTTGTAGTTTGAAAAGTTGTACTATGAAGAATATACAAAGGTTTTATTATGTTGTCTAAACAAAAAGTGTGAATTAAAACTGATTCAAAAAACCGTGATCTAATGAATACATTGTGGTTTTAAACATGCAACTTAATCAAAACTGCGGTTTAAAACTTGTTTAAAAACCGTAGCCTAGTCACATACTTTACGTGACATTTTTCCTTTTTGTGGAGAAAGTGCAAAAATCGTAATCTATGGAAATATGCAATGGCGACATATTCCACAACTTGGTAACCATAGCCTAAAGTCTTAGGCTACGGTTTTTATACTTTTTACAACGGTTTTTTATTGTTGCTTAAACTCATTTTTGTTGTAGTTATTATACTTTTAGTAGTTCTGTTTTTTTTCCTCATGATTATTAGAAATATTTAGGTTTGCATTCGTTTCTAAATTAGTGACATTTAGCACTGAAATATTTTGTTTTGTATCAGTTGAACTTTGAAAAATTATGTTGTAGTGAAATAATTTGGTTTGTAACAATTGAATCTTGTTCCATTTAGAAGTGAAATGTTTTAGTGAAAACTTTGTTCAACACATAATTTTACCATAACACATAATTGTCATAACACATAATTGTTTATCACATAATTTTTAAACTCTTGCTCAACACATAATTTTACCATAACACGTAATTGTCATTAACATATAAACTTGTTCAAAACGCATTGCAAAATGATATCTATAACCATTACACAAAATGACAGCATTCCAAAATGACATCCATAACCATAACACAAAATAAAAGTATACCAAAAGTGGTTCCACATACACTTAAGACCATTAAGCAACATCTTAAATACAACTAATATATTTTCTTGGGTGTGGTCCTCTTAGTTGGAGTTGTCCTCCTTGCAGTTGGGCCAATCATATCCTTGGAAACACTTAGTGTTGTAGTAGGTTCAGGAGGAACAAAAAGTGTTGATGGCCTCCTAACACCCAGCTTGCTTGGCCTTCCTAGTGTTGATTGTTGGGTAGCAGGTGTGCCTCTAGCTCTTGGCATTTGAGAACCATGTGTGCCTCCAACAGTTGATGTTTCCTGACTTCTTCTAGTTCTTGGAAATTGAGAACCTTGAGTAGCATGTTGAGAATCTTGAGTAGCATGTTGAGAACCTTGAGTAGCTTTCTAGGAACCTTGAGTTTGTTGAGTAACTTGAGCAGTTTTTTTGAGTATCTTGAGTAGTTGGTGTCACCTTACAGGTTAATTTGTTGTGCCCTAGTTGCTTGCACCTAGAACACCTGACTGCTAACCCTTTTCTCCTTATTTTTTTGTCAGTCTCATCCATCTTCCTTTGCTCAAGATTTCTTCTCTTCTTTAGTCTTCCAGGCATCCTTCTATATTTAGAAGGTTGCACATCTGGATATTCTATTCTCACCCAGAGATTTGATCCATTTACAGGATAAACCACAGGTGCATAAACCTTCATATACATTGACTTCAAATAATAATCAGGGATGTAAACTTCAATCTTAAAGTTCCTAATTTTCATACATGACAATGCATGAACACAAGGCAGACCAGTTAGTTCCCACCTTCTACAAGAGCATATCTTTCTTTCAAATTTACAAAAAATATATCTACAACGTCACATTTGTTAGTTCCCCTAAAATAAGATCTACTACAAAATCTTGGAGGTGTCTTTATCGTATGGAGATAGGCTTCTTCATTATCGGCCTCATCCCCTTCTACTTCTGCTTCTATAGGTCCATCATAATAATCAGGCTGATCAAGTGTGTGTTGAATACAAATGTCTATACCTAGGTAAACCCTGTAAATATAAGTTATTTCTAATCCTCCTACCTCATCAATCAATGCATTCATCCCAATGACGAATCATTGTAATAGATTTTATCAAAATCCCTATAACCTAACTCCTTCAGTTCACCTACCAACTCAAAGTAACTCAATTTGTCAACATCTACTTTCAACTCATAAACTTTTCCTCCTTCATACAGTCTAAGATCACCATCAATGAATTCACCACTATAATGAATTCTTAGTACTAGAAACTTGTCCATTTCACCTACTTAGTTCAAAATCGAGATTAATAAGCAAATTGTTACAACGCCCTAAAGTCATAAAAAAAAACCTAAATTTGAACCACTACAAGAACGAAAACATGCAAAACCCTAAAAGTTTAAATTTAAAACATCAAAACATCTAAATTTGTAGCACTATCTGAAAGAAAACATGATAATCTATGAAAACATTAAAAACCCTAATTTCTACCACTATCAAAATTGATACAAAACATCAAATTTCTAACCTGTTTGCAACGATGCTTTCAAACGTTCGCTTGGCCTTCGCCTCGCTTTCAGGAACACATGCAAAAAGATAAATTTCGCCTTCACTTTCTATTGTTCTTCACTGCACTTTCTAAAAAAGGTTTTTTCACAATAGTGGACAATATGGCATGTTATAGCCATGTAAATCATCAACTAAGCCACATGGACAGTCTTTTTGAACCCTCACTAACGGAAACAGACGGAAGGACAAGTGTGCTCCATTTTTAATACTTAAAGAATTATTTTAAACATTTTAAACATTAAGAGATCAAAATGAACCCCAAAATAAAGTTAAAGGAAAAAAATGGTATTTTGTCTACAAAACTATAGGTAACATTAGTTCTATATAACTAACCACCACCATATAACTAACAACATATTAGTCATCTAATTTTAATGGATTTGAATCATCTCCTTTTTTATATATCATGTCATCTCTCATGTTTCTAATTTAACGATTCAGAATTTATAATGAATAATTAAATAAAAAAAATTATTTAATAGGAGAGAGAAATGAATAAGTAATTTGTCTTTGTTTTTTTATTTAATTATTCATTATAAATTCTGAACCGTTAGATTAGAAACATAAAAGATGACATAATATATAAAAAAGGAGATGATCCAAATCTAATTTTAATTTATCTTAAATGAATTGATTTTATTTTATACAACAACATCATGATAAGAATTAAATGTATTGATTTTATATTAGTTAAAAAAATATATCAAACAACTTAGATTATAATAATTTAATAGATCATTTTTCTTTATAAATTAAAATCTTAAATAACAATATAATTATTAACAAATAAATATTTTATTTTAAAATTTTCCTTGGACCTTAATATTTATTGGGCGGTCCTATGCACACACAAAAATTTAAGAGAGAATGAAAAACATTAAAAATTCAGTGGATACCGTTTATTTAGTTTATGACAAAATAAATCAATGTTGTAGAAGCTTTTACAACTTGGTTTATACATTTTATTAATTTTATAAAATCTCCATTTTTTTAACGAATCGATTTAGAAAAAATTAATTAAAAAATGAAGTAAATATGTAAAAAAATGAAGTAAATAGGAAAATAGTAGTATTTAGAATGTAGGGTACTAATACTAATAACAACAATAAATATCCTGTTTTATTTTTCAGTAACATCTACAATGAATAATTAAATACACAAATAAACACGCTAAAAATCTCTCTGTTTTTCTCAGTTCTTGAAGATGGCTAGTATTGACAGCACAATTGAAGCTCCGATCATAGCCACAGAATTTGTAACAGATCCGGCAGCTCCGGCGTCGGGACCTGGTGCTGGAGCCAACGAGGGACTGAGATCTTGACCGGAGGCAACGGCGGCTAAAACAACGACGAAAAGGAAGGAAAAGATTTGGATAGTGGTAGCTGATGATGTCATTGTAAAATTACTTAACAGAAAAGAAAACGTGGAACGGAAAAAACGGTTGAAAATGTGAATTACGGTTAAGATTTTGTGTTTGAAGAGATTTTGATCTATGGTGTTTGAAGAGATTTTGATTTATGGTGTTGGAAGAGGGGGGAAGTATTTATAGCTAGATCCGGGAAGGAGTGTGGGACCCACAAAAACGTGGACAGCTGGAAATGAAAAATAGGTGTGTAGGTGTTGTTAACGTATGAATGGTTGTCTTGTCTGGTTGGTGCCGTTAGTAGATGTTTCTTTACGTTACTTAGTTGTGTATACTTTTCGGAATTTTTTACCACTATGCCACTACTTGAAATCAAATATACTAAATTGCCACAACTTGAAAAAAAATTACACGATTGTCACAAACCCAGAAAGGGTTCGTCCAACCATTGGACGACCCAATGAAGAGCATTTTGGCGCAGCAAGGGTTTGGCCAATGGATGGCCGACCCTGCTCTAGGTCTTTTTTTTTTTTTTTAAATTTCAGAATTAAAATGAATTTTTTTGATTGTTTTTTGTTTTTAATAGTTTTTTATATATTTAAATGATTTAAATAATATTATATTATAATAAAAAAATAATTTAATTATTTTAAAAATAATTTAATATAAATAATATAAATTTTACATTATATAATTAATTATTAAATATTAATAATTGTTTTTTTACATTATATAATTAATTATTAAATATTAATAATTGTTTTTTACATTATCTAATTAATTATTTTTTATATATTAAAATTAGTTAAATGATATTTTATATTACCTAATAAGTAATTTAATTATTTCAAATTATTTTTTAATATTTTTTAATATACAAAATGATAAATAATTATATAAAATAATAAATTATATAATTAATTGTTTAACTAAATAATTAGATAAAATAAAAAAATATATTTTATTAATATTGATGAGTGGAGAAAATACATCATATTTATCTACGCAAATGACCGCCAGTTCCACACAATGTACTCTTTTTCACACGTTTCCCCCTGCCTAACTCTTGAGTTTGCCGTATTGGAGGTGATGGGGTAGAGTCGGAAGTCAACTCTTCATTTTCAGGTTGACGTGATGTATCAAGCATGTCCACATCAGTAACCGAAAAACCTGGCCATTCCATGAGTTGATCATCCGTTAGGGTAAAGTTAGGGGCTGACTGGAATGGTTGGGTGAAAGTGGTTGGAGGGTTTTGTTGGATGGGAGGGTAATAAACATTGTCGGTGCGACCGGATGAACTTGGATGAGACATTGAAGGGTTAAATGTTTGGTGTTGTGGTTGGGGGTAAGAGAAATCAAAATTAGGCTGAGGGATCGGAGTGAATTGAAAAGAAGGTTGAAATGTGGCTTGTTCTTGATATTGTTGTCGATAGTAGTAGTTTGTTTGTGGGGTTGGGGTGTACGATGTTGGTTGTTGAGAGGAGGTGGCAAAGAATGTAGTATGAGTGCGTTGATATGTTGGTTGGGGTTGTGGTTGTGTTGGTTGTTGAGAGGAGGCGGCAAAGAATGTTGGTTGGTTGAATGAAGATGTCTGTGTTTCAAATTGTGAAGGGTTCACCTGAGGCATTTCTTGAGGCATGGGCGAAGAGGATCTTTGTTGTGATGAAGACTTTGCATACTGACGGGGTCCTCTAGGAACTGACCTTGAGAAGCGTGCATAAATGGAATGGATAAAAACCATTGCATATATTCAGCACTATGAACACAGTTACCGTTAACCATGTTACCTCGTAGGGTCAAATTTGTTCTGTTTCTCCACTCATTATTTTCTTCTTTATTTATATTGCGCCAATGATCTCCCCATGTATTAGGCATATCAGTCTCATGTTGTTGACGTAGACATCTAGGCTGAGGAGGGATATCTTGTTGAAATCCAAACTGCAATTTGACCCTATCAGCCTGATGCATTTCAACGATATGGAAACTGATAATTGATGTTGTAGCGCTCCAAATCTGGCTATCTTGAAGACGCATTCGGGGTAGCTTGGGTATGGCCTCCAAATAAACTGTTACAGAAAATATAAGTGTTAGAGTTTTAATACAATGGGTGACACATATTTAGAGAATGTTGCGCTAACAAACTTACATCGTTAGCCCTTAATCTGTCTAGTGCGAATCTAAATCCTCGGACGTAGTGCCGAGGATTATTTTGATAAGCCATGCCTCTTCGAACAAATCTTGCAATGTTAAAAAAAAGATAAATAATTTAGGGATGGAAACAAAAAGAAAATAAATGATAAAGAAAATGTAAACAAAATTTACCTTGTTGCATAAGGATGGTGTGCATTGGCGGGAGACTCTGGAGCTATTAGTGGTATACGCCAATATGTCCAAACACTTAGTAGTAGAACACACCCACCAATACTTTTGACCCCTACCATACATGCTTTACACATATGTCTATATAATGTAGCCAAACAAGCAGAACCCCAACTATATCTTCTGCATTTATCTAAATCTCCAACTAGGGGTATCCAAGAAGAATGCATATAGTTATGGCTCTTGTCTGGCATTAATACTTTAGCTATGAGTAATAAAATATATATTTTTGCATGTAAAAGATTTTCCTCATCGGTTGGTCTTGCTTTTTGTCGTAATCGTGCTAATGTAGTTTGTAGCCAAACAATTTTAACGTACCCTTTATGTTTATCAGATGTTGTAGGTTCTACGCCTAAATGTTCCATATATACATCACCTCCTACCTGAGTAGGACCATTCACGGCCTTACCATTCACGCGAAGACCCAATAACATACTCACATCCTCCAAAGTGATGGTACATTCACCTGTTGGTAGATGGAAAGTATGTGTTTCTGGTCTCCACCTCTCCAACATAGCGATTACAAGCTTTGAATCAACTTTGATCGAGGAGATTTCTGCAACTTTGCGAAACCAGCTCGTTCCAAAAACGGTTTAATTTCTTTGCTTGGTGCATCGATAGCATGAGAATGTAGTCTGAATCTCTCGCTATCGGACTGTTACAAATATAAAAACAAATAAATACAAACTTGTTGAATGATTGAAATGAATACAAATCAATAAATTCAAATAGATAAATAACAGAAATGTGAATAAAAATAACATACAAATGCGGCAATATTGGCCGGTGTTCCCCGATGATTTTCTCCCATCCACAACATTGCAATTTAAAAATATTGAATTATTGATTTAGAAGTAAGTAGTGATATATGTTGGAGTGATGATTTTTAAAACGTGGATGTACATTGTATTTATAAGAAAAATGGTGAAGTAGTGATACACACTAATAACCTTTGGAAACTCACATGCATGCACCCTATACTGCACCCTATTATTTTTCATCAGCCTTAATGGATTCTTCTGCACCCTAATAGTTCAAACCCTAGAAGCATGCAACGACAAGTGGCTTGCATGCAAAATTCCCTCTTCAATGGTTCGCCCTTTTGTTGGCCGAACCCCTACACGTTCCCCATGGGTTCGTCCTTTTGTTGGACGACCCTTTACTAAAAATTAATAGGTACGTCCTTGGGTTGGACGACCCTTTACTATGCATGTGTGGGTTCGTCCTTTGAGTGGACGTCCCTTAACTTGTTCAGCATGCACGCTAGTCCTATATATTTTACATGCAATTGTTGTAGACTGCACATCTACCTCCCACTCATACACTCATACTGTAAATTTCAAAAAACCTTGGTCATGGCAGATAGAAACACATTGGTCACTATGCACTATAACGGTTCCGTGTTTACTGATGAAAATATCGGTTTTTCATTCAACGGAACAGATACGGTGATGTTCAAACTTCACCGAAGTTCTGATATCCGTCATCTAAAAGATAGAATTGAAAAAAAAGTGAATCGTTCTGTCCAGGAAATTACTTACCGTCAACCAATACGTAATGGGGTAGACGATGATGTGTTCTACGTAATGATGCAGATAGATACAGACAGCGCAGTCAAATCAATGTTTCAATGTCATTACACAATGCCCCAGTTGAAGACAATTGAATTATATGTTCGCCTTGAAGACGAGGCATATCCAACACAATCATCATATTCGCATCAATACGGGGTGAGCCAAACGACTGATGATGAAATAATGCAAAATAATGAACCTTTCATCCGGAACGAGGAGGTTGGTGAATACAGTGACGATGAGCTCGATGATGTTCGCTTTGAAGACTTATTCGGTGATAACGATGACGACGGTCACGATGAACTCATGCAGTCAGAGGTAATATATGCTCAACCCATAAATCTGTACAATCCACCAGTGCATATGTCAAACATATGTATGGAGTCATCTCAACCCATCTATATTTTTGAAAATGAAAAACCAAACCATAATGGTGAAAAATTGGAAGTAGGCTTGGTGTTTGAAAATAAGGAAGAGTGTGTTCTTTTTTTACAACATTGGCATATTAGTAACAACCTTGACTATGCAGTATATAAATCTGATTCAGTAAGGTATATAATAAAATGTACAAACCCACAATGCGTCTTCAAATGTAGAGCTGCTGTGCGTAAAAAAAGCACATTATGGGAGATCGCTACTATAAAGGGTTCACACACGTGCACTACAACCTCAATGTCACAGGATCATAGAAAATTAGATTCTGAAATTATTAGCCACAGCATCAGAGAACTTGTTAACAGCGACGCTTCACTGAAAGTCAAAGTTATACAAGCCCACATTGCTGAAAAATACGGTTATAGAATCTCATATCGGAAAGCTTAGATTGCAAAGATCAAAGCTGTAGAAGCACTTTATGGAAATTGGGAGACGTCTTACAATGACCTACCACAGTGGTTGTTGGTGCTGAAGACATATCTTCCTGGAACTGTTATACAGTTGGAAACATTGCCGATTATTACAGACGACGGAACCCAGTTGGGTAACAAACGAAAATTTCACCGACTTTTCTGGGCATTTGAACCGTGTATCCGTGGTTTTAGTTACTGTAAACCAATCGTGCAAATAGACGGAACCTGGTT